CTTCCCCAAAGGTATCTAATCCTTGGGCTCTGATACCAAAATGTCACATCTTCGGATCGGCTCCGCCGTAGCACGATATTGTCTACTTTGGGCCTTCTACCCTTACGGTTTTGTTTTTGGGAACTCACGAGTAACTTCACTAGGAACAAAACCTAGAAACAAAACCGTGAGGGTAGGGGACCCAAAGCGGATAATATCGTGCTACGGCAGAGCCGATCTCGAAATGTGATAATTTGGTATCAGAGTCACTCTGCCGTGTGGTGCTAGTGTGCCGACGAGGACATTGGGTCCCTAAGAGGGGTGGATTGTAATATCCCACATCGACCAACGAAGAGGGGGTGATGAACCTTATATGTACATGCCCGCCTCTATCTAGCATGAGGCCTTTTGGGAGCTCACTGGTTTCGGAGTCATGGGAACTCCGAAGTTAAGCGAGTTGGGGCTAGAGTAATCCTAGGATGGGTGACCCACTGGGAAATTGCTCGTGAGTTCCCAAAAACAAAACCGTGAAGGCAGAGAATGAGGCTTAAAGTAAACAATATCATGCTACGGCGGAGCTGATTCCGGGATGTGATAAGCCCGCCATGTCTCTTTCTCAAAGAAAGGTCTTCCTCGTAACAAGGTCCTGCAAAATACACCAATACGGGAAAAAAAATCACTGAACAATTCAAATTTTTTGTAACTCTACTCACAGATATCAAATCTACTGTGAAAGTAGGTACACATAGCACATCACGAAAAGTATAAGTAAAATTGAGAATGAATGATCTTGTGGTAGTAATTGAGGCCTTCTCCCTAGTAGGCATAAGGACTGGTTGGAGAGAATGATAGACATTATGATGAACTAACAATTTGGGAGATGAAACGATGTGATTTGTTACGCCACTGTTGATAATCCAGCGTTGAAATTTTAATTTGGACAAAACTTAATTAGTAGTGGTAGCTTTGACTTGGGGTTGCTTAGCAATCGCTCATTTGTCATTCATGATAGCCAACATTTTCTGAAATTGATGATCCAAAAGGCCGGACATAGTAGAGTGCATCTTATCCTTAGTTGGGCCTTTCGAAACATGATTCAAAGATGGACCACCACCATTTTTCTACGGTTTGTGGCGTGGATGACCTTCTGGATACTCATGAAGCTTCCAACAGGCATTGATGTGATGACCATCATCATCACAATGAGTGCAATGAGGCTGATTTTTGGAAGATCCAAAGCGGCAGTCTTCATGGTTGGAGGTTTGGGAACGGTTTTGGTTTGACCAATCAATGCGAAGATCATCACGGTTGGTGGACCGATTCTAATTGGGTCATCCATTTCTAATATCCATGGTTGCAGTATCAAAGGTTCCAGCAACTCATAAGGCTTCAAGCATGCGTTACTTCTCTTCTTGGCTGACGGAAGTGTATGCTTGGAAAACGGATCGCAAGGGATTCATTAAGAGAATTTGGCCATAAAGAACACTGTAAGACTTATTTAATCTCATAAGGAATTGTATGAGTTTGTTGCGATTGCCATAGATTGCACAGGTGCAGGCCAAAGAATCGGTTTAGGAAACTAATTCATCTTATAAGCCTTTCAATTTGGTGTAATAGGCAGCAATTGACAATTGATCTTGTGTCAAAGATGAAATCTCCCATTGAAGTTGGAAGATATGACGAGCATTGCTTTGAGAGAACCGTTCACGAAGATCTTCCCAAATTTCTCAAGCTATGTGGTGCAGTAATTACACTATCGTTGATTTCGGGATCAAATGTGTTGACAATCTAGGAGAAGATTGAAGGGAATATTGTGGGAATGATGTTGTGTATAGATTTCTAAAAACTCTACAACCAAACTTTGAGATTATAAATCACCTAGCATGTCATATCTAATATGAAATCAAAGTAAGAGCTGAAGCATTAAATAAACTAGGGATTCAATGCAAGTCTCATTTGGTCCCAATGTTTATAAGTCTATGAAAGTGTGCACTAAAGACTCTCTAAATCCTATTTGAGAGAAAGATAAGATGTTCATACTCTTGGAGCGAATCTTGAAACCAAGAATGATGTTTAAGTAGAGGGAGTGGTCCCTTTATTGTTGACTCTCCCTTTGATGTTGGTTCTCCACCTTGTAGCTCTCCAAATAGGTACAAATATATTCTTGGGGTTAGGGATAGAGATCTTGATGTTTTCTCTCTTCCAATTTCACCAACTTGAAAAACCCTAGAATAATAGGATTCCATAGCTACACACTTATAGGATAAAAAATGTCACAAGAGTGACAAAAGTGCCCCCAAGCCCTAGTGTAGCCACACCCCCCCTTTTTGTGTGTCATCTTTTGCTATCTTAGTCCAACACATTAATCATATAATGTGTCACATATGTGCCTAAGTCCATAGGGTCAAATCTCTTTAATTAATGTTTCATAACTTTAATTAAATAATTGAATTAATCTAGTCAATGTAATTACTTTAGCGACTTGACTAATTCAATCACTCACTTGTCTAACGAGTGTTGGTCTCGGTCATCCTTAGTTGGCCATGTCAAGTGTTGGGTCAACCATTTGACCTTTGACTTTTGACTTTGACCTTTAACTTTCACATTGACTTTGACCAAGTCACAAAATCATTCATTCTCTTCATAATTTCCCAATCGATTCCTTTTCGGTGTGCTATCTTATAGGCTCTAATTAATGAGGCAGTGGGTATGAATGATTCACTCTGAATCAAGTGTGAATTGTATCCCTCCATACAATTCCCCTATTGACGAAGATTAATTATAATTAGTCCTTATAGGATTTCCACAACCCATGAGTGATACCTAGCAGTATATCATGGCTACCCAAGCTTAAAAGAATTCATTTAGAGAACCTAGTCAGTTTATGATTACAATGCAATTCGACCATTCTCTAATTCAATACTCTATGTCATGTTCTCGGGATATGGTAAACTTGTGTCAAAATTCCTAATATGACATCCCTTGATTATATGATTTAATTTAATGAATTTGCAAACGTTTTTGTTTCAATTTCCATCTAATAATTTGGCCAAAGATTCACGAATCATATCTTTAGAGTATTCTCTCTTCTTACTAAGAGCAGAGATTTCTTGTTGTATATTCACTTGTGTCTGCATACACTCTGAGAATCCTGAGGAACACCTTTAAGTCACATCATTTTAATACGACCGTATAGTGCTCTCAAAGAGAAACAACATATACACAAGACAACTGTGATGGCTCAGGTCTAAGGATTAATTTGTATTATCACAACTTAGAATTCCTTGTTTGACACTTATGAGTAAAACTTCCATACAAGATTTCTAGAGTTGATCACGTTCAGTGGACTCTATCTTCTATAGAGCATCTACACATCTTTCTCAGTGTCTCTACACGAATGACTTGAGACTAGCCATTCTCCCAATTGAGCAGATATAATGTGTACCAGTCTTTACTGGTTACCATTGTCCAATTCGTGATTCTATGACGAGGAACAAAACTCAATTTATTCTTGGCGTTCCATGAAACTGTTAGGAATCTACGCCATGTCGCATTGTTATCTCCATTCAAGGGCTTCTGCACAATTACCAAACCTAGATGATCCGAATTACTAAGGTAATAAGGGCTTGAAGGTTCCAGCTTGAATACATCGAAGGAATCACCCATGGTGTCCGGCGGTGAAGGGTATGCGGTACGAGAAGGTAGAATGTGATAGAATGATCTTTTCATGGATAGGTACAATTTCTTTATACAAGAGTATATTCATGTACAAGAAAACTAATCCTGTAATCTTGGAAACCAACTAGAAAGAAAAATATTAATTACAACAGGATTGATACTAATTGATATTATACAAATAGACTTCTTAAATTCAAAATGTCAAGTTCGTAAGAAGTTAAAAACATACAAGCGAAGACAACCTTGTGATTGGTTGTTAGAGATGTCATATGAATTTGTTTTGTAGTCCAAATTCTGGCAGGCAGCCTTTCTCATTGATCAGGAAGAAGTGGGTGCCGTGTGCAGGTTTGATGCGCCCACATGATTGAAACTGGATTGCTCCTCGGACGTGTCTAACTAGAGTACACGGTCAACAAAGAGCCGTTTCATGTCCCATCTCTCCCACTCCCTCATAGCATCATGGTCAACAAAGAGCCGTTTCATGTCCCATCGCTCCGACTCATGGCATCCATCGTCTCTTTCGTGTCCACTGCTTACAATCACTCGCAAAGTAAACGGATGATTTATTTAGTTGAACTCACATAGAACCTCCACTATATGTGTTAAGCTCAGGAGAAAACTAATAGTCAAGAGTGGAATTTTTCAACGGGTAGGCTATAGCTAAAATGTTTAGGATAAAATCTAATGAACTTTTTATTTTATTTTATTTTATTTTTTGTACTTACAGTTTTTATAGCTTTTATAGAAATAAAAGTATAGATTAAATTATATAAACCACACTAGTTCATAACTTCATTGACTAATTTCAAATAAATTTTAACATAACACAAATACATATTAAATGCAACAAGAAAACGAATGAAATACATGTTTGGTTTTTTGTTTTTTGTGGTTTAATTCTTCACTTTATTCTAGAAAGATTTTTCTGATGGTCTGTTTATCAATGTCGTAAAAATATAATAATACTTAAATTTTCATATACAAGGGCAGATAAGGCAGAACAACCAGAGGACCTCCAGTGAGCCAAAGCACAAGAGGATCATACTCTGGAGTACTCCCTTTAGACTCAAAGAAGTAATAAATTAGAAGCCCACTCCACGTACCTTTATATAATTAAAGCCACACAGTAAAGTAACTCATATTGCACATGTTTATATATACAGATTAGAGAATAATAGTTTTAGGAACAAAACTACCGACCCAGTTTCAAGTTTGAAGGTTCATAAGGATCACCAGAAGTGTACTTGCTGCTAGGCATTTCAACAAAATTTCCATTATTTTAGTTATCTTTTCTTCTTTCAGAAACCTAGTTGAGAAAAATTAAGCAGGATTTTCGGTTCTTGCCTTTACAGTAACAAATGTCAAACTGTACGCTTTCATTGTATATGCATTGGTGTACCTTAGAAAAAAATGATAATTTAATTAATTAAATAAGAAATTGCAGTGACATTATGAAAATTGATAGCAAGCAACCAACCCTGCAACTTGGCCATTAACAAACCACGGTCTCCATTGGTAATCAACACTCAAATTTAGAGATTTTATCCATTCTCCAGTGCCCACATATGGAATAATCATGTCATGATCACCACTGTACCAACAAAAAAAAAATGTACAAATTAACTTTGATATATTTCAGACAGAAGAATACTTCATCGGTTTTTTCGCACAAATCGTCGTGGACTTTTTACGGATAGACAAAATTTGGAAATGGAGAAAATTAAGAATATTAATTAGTGTACCTGTAAACCAGTGCTCTAAGGTTTTTCTTGGTGAGATTTCGATGATAGTCAATACTAGTTCTAACATCATATGCATAATTGCTATCTAAGCTCTGATTGCATCTTTTTATTGTTCCCTGTTAGATTGTAATGGCAAAAGTGCTTAAGCGAAATTAATTATATTGTAATTCTCAAAATTATAACATACCTCTTGAACGTTTTGAGCATTTTGGACAGTTTTGTCATTAGCCCAAATGAAGCAGAAGATATAGTTATAACTCTGCAACCAAGTACTAAGGTATTAGCATGAAACATAGTTCAGTCATGTAAACGTATAAATATATGGCTAATTAATGTAATTCGACTCCATTGCTAACCGAACTAATCATAGGACTAAAATTTCCAAAGTCAACATGAAAAACGAGTCAAATTTTAAGGATAAAAAATATGTAATTTGACCTAAATTCAGAGGAGTATATATTGTGCATGAGTAAGTAAACCAGAAATTTACACGACACCATGATTTCATAGAATAATGCAGCACATCTAACAAGTTCTCTTCAGCAAAGTTCTGATCCCATTTGAATCTTTCTGGTTTTGGAGACAGAGTGCTACACTTTGGCTCCAATATTTGTGCAAGATTTATCTTTTGGATGCACTGCAAATTTGTTAAGTGGTAAATCGATATTCAGTATCACACTTTAATATATAATAAACGCAAACCAAGGACATTGTAGTAATTCTCACCTCATTGACTTCTTGGAGGTTTTCCACACAAGGTGCATTGCTTGGATCTACTTGAACATACTCTCCCTTGCAATTTGTTTAAGTTGACTATATATATATATATATATATTTTTTTTAAAACGAAGAGATTAGCTCTCAAATTAAGCATTAATTTTATTTTTTTTGCTACATGATTTGTACCAAAATTAATTGAGCACCTTTTTTTTTGCACACATTGGCAGTAGGAATACAACTCTCGCTCTTCTTTCTTCAAAGTGTAAGAAAACCAACAGATAAACAAGAAAACATATTTATACCTCATAGAGTTCATTGGATATGAGTGTCATGCGATGAGCATATTTAATTCGTGAGTTCACGTCATATGTTGGTTCTGTCCATGGGTTGCCAAGCACGTAACCCTGAGTTCAATCAAACAACATTTAGTTATCCAAGACAATGTTTCTTTACTTGATACCAAAAATGTGGTAAATACTCGCCCCAAAAGAAAAAAAATTCTATGTTTGAATGTACTTTTTTTTTCACCGGATCCGAGTGATATAGACGGAGGAAGAATTCAAACTTTGGTATGAATGTCACATTTTACTTATGCATTATAATCATTAAATTTTGTACTAAGGGCTCATAATTACGAGGTTTTTCTTTGGTAAGAAAAATATATATTACTCCAATCACACATTAAATTTATTTTTTTTCAAAATTATGAAGGACGAGGTGAGTTTTTTCACACAAACTTCCAAGGTGGTATGAGGGTTCAAACCTGAGACTATTGATATGCAAGTCAAAACTCTTTTTCACTAATCTCGTACTCATCTCGTAAAATAGTTAAGAACCAGGGACTAAGACCGAAAGACAGCACAAAAAGCAAAAGTTCATTACAGAAAGCAGAAAAAAAAAATTTGATTGTAATGAGCTATATTAGGATTACAAGCTAAAATCAAATGAGCACAAAACAACCATAAGAGCCCAAACGAACGCACACAAAAGGAGAAGGGCTAACGAGGACTAAAAGGGAAGACAAGTATCTCAAATTTAAAATCAGATTGAATTATTACTTTGAGATTCATTGGCGGTTCATGCCCGGCTTCGTTACCTACAACAGTTCAGATTTAGGAGACTTCTCATAATTTAGGTCAAATAAATTTAGGACTCGTTTGATAACTATTTAGTGAACGAACTGAAAAGGTTTTCATTCCCAACAAAAGTTACCATTAGATACTTGTTGAGCAACGATGGGAACGGTTATGCCTGAATATGAATCACCAGCAATATATAGTGGATTTTTCAGAAATTGAGGGTGATCTTTAAGCCACTGCAGCACCATTATATACATCACAACAATTAATAAATTAATTAATGAGATTGTCACACCCCAACCCTCGGATTTACAAAACCTTGGGTTAAGACGTGATTCACACCTTAATTATATAATTTAATAAAAACTATAACTAAAATGTGAAGAAAACATTTAAATAAATAAAATAAACATTTCACATAAAATATTCAGCAGAAACGCTGAAACGATAACGTTTAAAACCATAAAAATTTTACATTATTTTACAAGTTAGAACTACTCGAGAGTTCACTTAAAGAGTAGCTCATTATTCAACCACAAGCTATGTTACATTCTATAGACATGCCAAAAATCATCACAAGCTCTAGATTTCAGGTTCGGTACCTGTAAAATCTATTAGGGGGTGAGCGAAACCACAGCTCAGTAGGGACATAAACCTTTTCACGATAAATTGACATAATTAAATTAAGTGATAAATAATCAAGCAGCCAAATTTCACATTATTAGTATTAATGCATGAATGCTCTTCATCTAATCTCATTAATTCATATAACTGGACAAGCAGACCTGCAAGTCCCATACCATGCTTTTACCACTTGGTCCTGAATGCCCATTTATATGAACTAACACCCATTTCAACTGTCCCATAATTCCCCTTTTGTTAGTCATCTTGTCTAACTCCCTTTCGCCAGTCCCGAATCACCCAATAAAA